GAGTTGGCTTACTCGTTGGTACCCTATCCATTCACATGTCTGTCTGCATAGATAAATGCATATAATAAATTAATCCGTAACACCGTATTCGGCTTATTACAACCACAGTCGACAAGAAGATTTATTTCATTACACACTCAATCATTCGTCCATAATCGAGTCCACTCGTGAGCCATAAAGATCAAACAGCAGTAGAACAGCCGCATCGTATACTTTTATTTTTTTTAAACTATGACAAACGCGCTATCTCTAGTTGTACTTTACTTTTAGATCAATACACTGGTCAATATTTTAATGTGTTGATGATTTCAGATTCAAGTCAAGCTAAAACATTATGATAGTGAGTTTTTCATTCAAATAAAACAAATAAATATGTTTCATCGATAAAAAACCTCTTACTAACTTTAGAAAAACCTGTCTTTTTTTCTTTATTATAAGACATTTCAATTTCGGGAAATCCTCATTCTCATATAATCATGTGTTGTACTGCGCTTGTGTTAGTCAGAGATAAATTGAAGTCAAAAATATCAACTAGAAAAGTATTTGAGACCATCAAACAATGGATACTTAATCAGTCGTAGTTTTTGGTTACATATCAGCGCAGATCTATACATCGATGCGAAGCCCGTTTTCAGATTTAAAGAATACTGTATGTTAGATCCAATTAGTTGAAATTTAGCATATTTTAAATTTTCGATTTCAGTTAACGTCTGTAATGGATACAAGTTTCATTCAGTATCACGGATAATATATTGTTTCCGGTCTTAACCAACAAGCGGAATCTATCAGGAAACTAGCCGCAGATAATCATATATTAAATATGCTTTCTGGGAATTTCTTTATTTGCAAAAAATTCTAAAAAGCACTGAATAATAAGAATAATATTCATAATTTACCGTTCTCTTTACCACTAGATAACCTGTAATAGTTATCTAGTTAAAAGTGAACTGATTATTCGTGTTCGATTAATGAATAAATAATTTCTTTTTACTGGCCACATCCTATCTTATATCATCCCTAATTTTTTACATGGAAATGCATTCTGATAACATTTACTTATTTCATTTATTCGGTTTATTAGAATTAGAAGTAGTAGTAGTAGTTGTAGTAGTTCTAACATGATCTGATCACCACAAAGCAGTTCCTATTATGATTTACGGTAATGATCATTTAGCTACTTGTAAAAACACACCGAAGTATTTCTTGTTTGATTTTTATTCACTGATGTCATTTCATTCTAAATCTACTCTTTATATGAATTATTCCACCTGTAAACTTTCAAGACTCTGGAATAATTTAGCACAATCTATCTGTGAAATAAAATCACTTCTTTATTATCTGCATTGATAGCTCACAGCTGTAAGTATATCCCATTCCACAAGTGATAATGTAGTGAAGAAGAACACAGGTGAGGACAATCAAATTGTGTTTAGCGAAAATTACAAAGTTACTCAGTAAAATTGGAAAACTATATCGTGAATCGTTCATTTGCAAAAGATCAGTTCATCCTGTGGAACTGGACTGTTTCTGTTGCCAAACATCAATCCATTGTCACTATTCATGCGTTTCATACAAATTCCATTGTTTCTAAGTCTTCCTGTCTTGATCTTCCCCCCATACTATGCTACCAGACTTTACGTTGACACTCACGTTATATACTACTTATAAGTAGTTCGCACCACAGCACCACAATAATATGAGAACCGTAACTGTTTGATCGTCTTATTACTGAGCCTATTAATTAAACCTACTTAATTGCAGATATGTCACATTGACACTGTCCACTATAATAAATTCAACTAACTTGAGTAGTACTAAGCTGGAACATTGAAACATAAAATAACTTTGTCCCCGAACCATGGTAGACTTGACAGACCTGACTGATCTATCACTGTAATAACTGTTCTCATTCTTCTGTGCTCCCTATTTCCGTTTCGTTTTCTCTAGTTGTAGATGATTATAAAGAATGTGTTGTCACTGGAAACGATATTTAGTACACCGTCCATACACACCAATATGATGTCTAGTTTACAAAAACTACTAGTTCTTGACTGATATTTTTCATTACTGTTTTACATGTGAAAAATGTACTGCTTGAACAATTTTCAAAGAGCAACACTTCAAACAATGCAACATAACATATCTCTCCTCTGCAATAAAAATTTATATCCACATCAATCTGACCATGCCAGTAAATTGGCATGAGTCATGTAAATATAATGCTGATCTCGTTTTATTATCAATGATAAGTTCAGTTAATTCGAATGTTATAATCCAATATGAACATTAGAAATATGTATAACTTAGTCTCATAGATGTCTTTTTATCAGAATATAAAGAACAATAATGATATTCCTTAATACTAAAATATTAGAATCGTTTAAGTGTAAACAGATTTACGAGTTGTTTAACAATTTTACTTAATTTCCATTTTATGTAATCGATCAAAATTTGATAGGAAACAAGAATAATGTGATCATTCACATCTATGTATGTTGATATATATATATATATATATATATATATATATATATATATATATATATATATATATATATATATTGTGCGTCATTCGGGTTTCATTATGAAAACTTGTAAGATTTCATCTCTAGGTAGATTCGTTTTGAATCCTATTAGTGAAGTTAAGTGCTGAATGGGTGATTACCTGTTAATTTATGTTAACTATGTAACAGTAAATTGAAATTTATCTACTCTTTTAGCTTCATGTGAGTTATTGTTATTTTGTGTGATTTCATTTACTGTATTGATTTACTATCGTCTTCATTCAAGAAAAAGTCTCTTTCAATGGAGGTTGATGTTAGATAGAAAGACAATGAATGCTTCCCAATGAAACTATTTAAATCACAGAACACAGTACCACTAAGTATATTCACTGTGGCTATAAATTTTAGTTAATATTTCAAGATAGAAATATTACTTAGCTGAATTTACAAAAATGGAACTATATTGTAATGCAAACGAGATAACTGAGATGAAAATTGATTTCATCTGGAAGACTGATATGATAATTTTACTAAATTTGCTGCTAAACTAAAGGTGATGGTTAGAGACATTCAGGAGGCAACTCTGGATACAGGCTTCCTGCTCATCTGAAGCTTGCCAGTTAGATGTACCTCTAGACTTGTGGGAACTGTCGCTCCATTGCAGATACGATAATGTGTCAGTGATGGTAACGCTGTGTTGTCCAAGCAATAGCTGACGTTTGTAAGACTGAAATCCCTGGTTTTCTGCCGACTACTCGGAACCGCCAACCTGCATCGCAATATTGCTCGAACGGTGTCGAATCTCTTAGACCAGAGGTTAAATTGCAACTCCATCAATCAGATCTGAGAAGAACACTAGTCAGTAATTAATCAATTGTAGAAGATGACTATTCGTTTGTTTTTGGTGCCGATTGCTGATTATTGTGCATAAGACATATCTTACTTAAACATTTAGGCTGATCATTTAAAAAATTTCAGAACATAATGCCTATCTCCTTTTTCAGTAAAACAACAAAATAGTTAATATATCTGCTTGAAAGTTTCCTAAACTGATCTATTCCAGTTGCATTTGATGTATGCAATATGGTATAGACTGTTTGTACTAAATTCATCTTAAAAAAAAATTAATTAACTGATAATACATTTTGACTACTGAAGTTCAGTATTAGTAACTAGCATTTCGGAAGAAAAACATATATTCCTTAACAATATTTTTTTTTAAATATTTGCATTGTTGATGAATGAATTAAATCCACCATTATTTCAATAATTGATAAATCCTTGAATCCAATTTTCAAAAAATCTCAATATGATTATCTTCTAGCTGACTACTTTATTTTAAAACAGGTTTAATTTGATTATTATTGTTACATATGGAGAGAGTTATCTTGGATTAAGAAAAAAGTCTCTCAGTTGCTTCAGAGAATTACTCCTGACATATTAAATGGTTATTTAAAAACTAAATGTATCGAAAGTTTACTCATCGATATCAAAAGTTAACCCTTACCATAATATGAGTCTAAAGTACTAGTAACTATAGCCTGGCAGTGTTGTATGACAAATACTTACACAATTTGTTTTTACAGACAGTCGAATTCACATCTAATAGACATTTTGATAAAATGATGTAGTAAATGTATCGAATAATAAAATCAAAGTTAAACGATTTTCTACTAGATGAAATGCAGAATGGAATGAATATGACAAATATAAGCAAAGAACTTTTTTAGGCCAAAAAAACGAGTCAGTTTATTACATATGATTAGAATTAATTTATAAAACAAAAGTAATTTCATTACATAAGGTTAGGATTCAAGCATAATTAACCAACCGCATTTTGAAACTGCTCTCTTAATGACTTATTGATCAGTTAAGAGTTAAATAATATATCTATTTCAGTCTTTCTAGTTTCAATTATCTCATATCCTCAGTTTTATAAAACTTTTATTCATCAATACTAATGTAGACAACCGTACTAATCTAAAAATGCATGACTTAAAATATTAACCAGACGAGAGACTTATCATTTAGGTTATAGTAAATATTCTATCATAACTCCATTATTTTGAAGTGTAACACTTTTCCTCACTTACTTAAATAACTAACCTGTTCGAACGTTCCATGTACCTAAAAGAATGGTTGCTCTGGTTGTCAGAAGATGCATCGGCCTTGTGACTCACTTCTTGGCTCTCTGAAATAACTAGCCTACTGTTCTCAGATATTGGTTAATTATTCCTACTTAGTAGTAGGTAGTTATTATTACTTCACTCTCATGTATGCCCATACAATGAAAATAATTAAAATAATTTATGTCAAAAAATTCAAACTGTTCATTAAAAACTTTGATTAAATTTAGAAAAAAAATTCTGAACAAAATTTACTGAATTCTACAAAATGATTGACAAGTTATTGTTTTCCTTGATTAATTCTACTTTAAATAGTGTTCAAATAAATATAAGATGCATTCATTATTGTCTTTCTGTTTTATAACACATATCAACGATATATAGTGACTGCTGAAGGACTTTTTCTTATCACAGTGGTTTCATCCATTTGTGTCTCTGGTTTATTAGGTCTTCGTTGAACATAAAAATAAATTGGACCTTCTCCGACTGGACTGTTTGCTAACAATGGTTCACTACTAGTTATCGGTATATAACTTGCTTCTCTGTTGTATGTAAATGGTGAATGTGTGCTTACTCTTTGATTATTATGTGTATTTCTTCCTTGATATTGCATAACGAAATAGTCTTTCGGAGAAGGTGTACGTTCAATATAAGATCTGGTTTGTTGTTTTGAGTAGGACTGGTGAATTGGTGAATTTACTTCACGTGACATTGTACTACTTTTGTAATATATAGGCATATTTGAATGACTTAAATAACCATTTGTATATGCATTCTGTAAATATCCAGTTGTCTTGGAATTATCATAAAATTCAGAATGATTATTGGATATGGCATTGATTCTATGTAATGAACCATGACTGTGTCTTTTGTTACTTCTGTAAGTGTGAAAATTCTCTTCTTCTTCTTCTTCATCTTCTTCTTCTAGTCCATTTCCTCTTTGTATTTCATCTTCTTCTCCTTCTAATGAATTATGACCATTATCTAGTATATTATTTCCATAATTAATCACTTGACTAGATATACTTGCTCTTAATTTTCCAAATGAACTTTTATTCTGTGTAAGTTCTGCAATCCGATTTCTATCTTCCATTGAATTCACTGAATATGTTTCATAAATTCTTCTCTGTTTATCATCATTCAATGCTAACATGAAAACATTTGGTATATTTGAGAAAAAATAAATATACTTAATATCTTGATAAAAGATTTGTTCACGAAATAATTTTGAACGACTTTTTCGTTCAAATCTCATACGATCAATTAAACAGTATAAATAACCATAGTTACGTTTCTTGCGTAAATGCTTTAACAATAATTGATTCGCTTTACTATCACAAAATCCCGCTGGATCAATAATTTTCGAATGATCTCTTCCTTTGAACACGGTTCTAAATAATATTGATTGTCCAGTTACTGGATCATTTGGTAAATTCTCTACAATTTGTGGAACTAATGAATTCGAACGTTTTCTTGTATGATGATCCACAGACATTGAAAATTATTATTCAAAAAATTATTCACTTGCAAAAATATGATTTCTCTTTGAACTAATGTTTACTTTTGTTACGCGCTTGATTGTAAAATTTCAACTAGAAATTATAAAATGATAATTGTATTGATGTGATAGACAAATAAAATAGAAGTAAAAACAGTATAAACACTGTGTATGTAAGTTTTGTCGATATAAACAAATAATCCGATATGCTTGGGAATGAGTAGATGGTTTTAAACATACACAATTTGAAGCTTATTTTACACCCACTCAAGAAACTATTTACATTTGTGTAGAAATTTTGTTCATTTTTGGTAAATAATGTCAACTAGAAAAATTGTTCATTCAAAGTAAATGTTGAATAGGTGATTTATTTCATAGACGTATCGCATACTTATTGATTGATTATACTTTTGTTGGCTATTCAATGAGTTATACTGAACAACCTGATCATATTTCAGTTTTCTTTTTTCATTTGTTTAACAACAATACAATTTTTTTATTTACAATTAATAATCGATTTTGATCTATAGAATACGCTTATTTCACCACATAATTCATAAAGCCTTAAGTATACTATATATATATATATACAGAGAGAGAGAGAGAGAGTTAAGTGCTTGCAAGTGATCGATAATGTGAATGTTCCAAAAACATCAGGATAGAGACAGTGGTTTATAAGACGAAAAATCATTTCTACAACTGAAACCTGAAATGATTCAATAAACTATCTGGTCTATTTTCTACAAGTAATGAATGATTGAATAAATCACGCATGGTAGTAAAAATTGAGAAAAAAACATGATAAACCTCAATGAATAACTTGAATATGGACAATTTCATCTTTATTTTAATCAAAGTTAGTTTAAACACTTTACCACTATACGGGCGCGTACTTCAGAGTTAGCATTAAAAAAGCCATCCATTAAAAGTAAGCATCAATAAAATCTAGTTGAAAATGAAAGCAATTCATTGAACAGTATACATCGAATGACTCCGAATCAAGAGTAATTGACAGTTCATACGTGTACAACAAATGATAATAAAGATAAGAACATAAGACTATATTTTATAGACGAGTTTTGACCTACACAAAAATGACCTTGAATGAAATCACTTACTTGGTGACAACAGAAGGTTATAAATTAGTGTAAGAAATCAAAACTGAGCTTTTGAAGTTAGGTCTTGGAATTAAAGCTTTCATAATGAAGTGACATTATCTCTAATGACAAAACATTATTTTCCAATACGGATAAATGAATTTCACGCCAAGAGCAAAAACTTGTTATTCTTAATCTTATGGGTTCTCACATAAATTATAAACTTGCCTATATTAACTGACTAAATACAATATAGAGCCTGTAGATATGAATATTATAGACGTAAGGAAATTTTTAAAAAATAGTTTAATATTGTTCTAAGTGTAGAAATTCATTCTGCATAAACAGACTAGTACCAAGCTGTTTGCGTAATCTGCAATAACAAGTTTAAGGTTTAGTGCTACCGAATGGTGCATATTTTTTCCATTCAATAAAATAGTAATTTAAATTACTGTTGATTTGTATATTTCTAATGTTAGATCACTTTCATTAATGTACGTATATGTCAATGAAATAATTTTAAACTCGTCGTATTAATATTCATTCACCCTTACAGGTACTCTGTTTCCAGGAGTAAACTTCTTACTGCACTTGTGAACAATGAACAGAATGCATTGTCATGCCCATACTAATGTTTACTCAATTTTCAAAGCGCGACACTTGGATTATTAAACTGATTGAGTTATATTTTCAAAAAATTAAATACAAAGATATTTTCAGATTTTTCATCAAAAATCCATGTTTAAAAACTTTTGAGTTATAGGGCAAACTATATATATATAACTTTATGTCATAGATTTAAACAAGGTTACTAATACGTGTAACTTGTCAGATCGCACTAATATTACGAGAGTAATAAACATTATTTTTATTGAAACGATTAACATTTAGTTGAATTCATGCTTATTCAGGTAATTATCTCGATCAGAGTAATTCAAACAGTTGGAGAAACATGTTTCTAAAGACGCAGTCATAAAATGCTAATCGATTTAAAGCTGTATGTAGTGCAGTTATGTAATCTGTTCCAATGTGATTATAGACCCATAAATTTTCTGAACTGGTTTGACATTTTCCTGTAAACATTCACATATATTACAGTAAAGCCTGATGACGATCTGACTGAAAACAATATTGTTCGCTTAAATGTGTTCTGATTTTCAAAATGGAAATGGACCAGTGTAGTTGCACTACATCTCAACATACACAAGAGAGGGAGCAAGATCCGCCGATACAACACAACATGCAACAACCGAATCACTTTGGATGGAGAAGCTTCGAAGGATGTAAGAACCTTTACATAGCTTTTCAGCATCAAAGTGGATCTGATGCAGATGTGAACAAACCGATTGGCAAAGCAAGGGTAGCATTTATACAATAAAGGAACATTTGAAACTTAAAACAGTGAAGAATTCTGGTCGGTGGCTTATGCTTCATTAGGGATAACAGGCGTAAGTGATATTACATAGTTATTGATCGATGAGTATTAAATCATATATATTAGTGTAGATTCTTGATGACAAACTGATTGAAAAAAATTTATTCACTCTATCTGTTCTTTTTACTAAACAGCGAAACAGGAATTTTCACTACATACCCAGTTTACAGTAAAGGTCAATGAAAATGAGCTGAACTGCAATAAAGAAGAATATTAGTATACACAAGTTACTACTTCCAATATACCGGATGGCTATATTTAATTTTTTTTAATTTTTTATGTGCTGGACATATCTTACACACCACTAATCAATTTACAAGTTCCATGAAAACTTGAGTACACCTAGAGCAAAATGTTCAAACAATGATAAAGTTAAATGAAATTATTTTTTCAGCTTTATGGACTGACAATATTTGTATTCTGTTGACAGTTTTTTCTGTTAAATTTTAATGATCATAAGCACTGTAAACAATGATGTTCAAGATTTCACTGTCGTTATAAAAAAAAACTGGGCAATGTCTATGATAAATACTTCTATCATACTGTAGATGACCACACCCAGTGTGGAGATATTATGGCTGAAATTCACAGAATATTTACATTAGTCATTACGTTGACTTTTCTTAAAAACCATAAGACGGTTATGTGGCTGTTTTGACCAGGTACATCTTTTCTCCTTACTGTTATCCTTGAGTCAATGACTGAATTCCTAATAGCCCATGATTCTCTGTCTTCTCTCTGCCTTGCCCTTCAGTCTAAAAGTCAAAAATAAGCATGTACTAAATCATTATATATTCCAAAAAGATGCGGGTTATATTATGACGTACCAGACCACATTACACCGTAAAATAAAAAAATATTAAGTAAACATAATGAGACCAACAGTGACTATGAAGAGGGAAGATTGTAAGTAATAAACTGAAAATAAAATTAGGAACATTAAATCACATGACATTAGTTATTGAGTCAAATGAAAGCTCATGATTAAAGGAATATGTATATACAGTAATTTAGATTATTCATAATTATGTATGGTAATACTAATAATGATAATAATAACGATAATCCGTTTTATCCTCGTTTCGATAACAAACGAAGTTATTCTCTTTAAATTACTAATTGAATTTGTTATTCCAGGACTGGTTCATTAAACTTATAAAAATTCATATTTTTATAATACTACTTGTACAGAACACAATGGTCAAGATCTACATGTATGGAAAGATGGATTCTAAAAATTGTTGAAACACTGGCTCTTGATAATTAATAGTGAGTAGAAAACTAGAATTTTAATAGTTATTCTGACAGTTAATAGACAATTTTAAAAAGTAATTTAAAATATTCATTGGGCTAAGATGAGTTTTAGAGATCATCAAAGTTTTCAGGTGACTTCTGTCACAAATAACCATTGGTTGAGGTGGATTAAAAATGTATGGAAGACTTGTAAACTATAAGTATAGGAAACTGATTAAATTTGGAAATTTTCTTGGCGTCCGATCCCAACTCATTAGCATTTTGAATAAGTGTCCACCACTGGATATGGAAGTCTAGGTTTGTAGAAGAATTTTATACTAGGACAACATAATTGTCCAATTCCTCCAAGTGTTTAATGAAAACCTAAGCAAATCCGAAATCCGAACACTAATCTCGCATGAAACAATGTATATTTACCTGTCTGACGACCATATGTCTTTCATTGGATAAAATAAACTTTTTTTATGTCACTGAAAACATTCCAAGATGCTCTCAACCATCCTTATCGAAATTTTCTCGTTTATGCTCAGGAATGTTAGATTAAAGTAATGTGCGCTTTTTTGAATGGTCTACTTAGATTACAACTGGATTATCTGTAATCGAATTGAAATTATTTTTGTTTGTTTATACACTGTTATATTCCTATTTTCAATTATACATTTGAAATTGTTGTAAAATATATTCTACTCATATTATATTTCAGGAATGTCAAATGTTTCTTAATGTGATGTAGTTATAGTAAGTATGTATTACAGTTATTGATATCGTTTTGTCAATAATATAAAAATGAAGTATAACAGTATCATAACAGAACCATAAATGTGGGTGTAGACTCAATCGATAACAAATTTCACAGTGATTAAGCCAGAATTTACCACATGTCGCATGCTCATCCACTTACATACACATATAAACATAATAACATACCTATGTGTACTACTTGTTTTTAAGAATTCAATTGAGCCTTTTTAATGTTCGATAGTATCTGTGTGTGTAAGTACAATTTTATTGACGATCTTAATGTAACAGTTATTCTTATTGAATTATCAAACTAGTACTTTTATCAACATTTTTATTATGCAGACAAGCAACTAGTGGTGTATTAGAGAAACTGATCATTTAAAAAAACCTTCAAGAAGGTTGATCACCGGAACATTGTGGTGTACACTATAACAACAACAACAACAACAACAACAATAACAACGACAGATGACACGCGGAAGAAGATCAAGCAGTGTGGATTCTTCATATGATAAAGATATTTTTTTCCAATGTCGTGGAAGAAAGTTCAGTGTTACAGAAATAGCCGACAATGAATCATTTTCACGTTTTTTAGCTGATCAAATTATCAAAAAGCATCTTGCAAAAGGTCGAACAAAAATCACTATTTGCTGTTTACAAGACAGATTGAAATTTAGCCGAGCTACATCAATTATTCCTCATTCATTTCGAAAATATGCAGAGTATAAAGATATTAAAAATTTTCTTGTTTTTACAAGTAAACCAGGTGTTTTCATGTTATGTATACATGATTCTGAGACAAATAAAAAAACCTATGAAACTTTCTGTTGTGATGATCCGTCGGATTTAGAAAAATTAACACGTTTAGTCAGTTCAGCAAAAAATAATCCAGATCATAAATTATATCGAAGTCAGAATACATCAAGATCAACTATTGATATGAATAATGAAATGTCAGCTGCTGAATTATTTGAAAGTAGCACAAATTTAAACAATGAATCGGTAAGTTATCAAAGTGGATTTATACGCGATCCGGTATCACCTGTAACTGAAGCTGTAGTTCGTAGTTCACCATTTTCTCCATCACATACTTATAATAATTTAACTTCAGTTTCCATAAGTGACATGCCAAATGAAACGGTCACAAATGGTTATGGTGGAAAGGTTACAAGAAGTCTTAGTCGAAGTAGAAGTAGTAGTAGAAATAGTAGTAATAATCGAAAAAGATATTCAAGTCAAATGATTGCACCTCCATCGAATGACAATTTTCATCCTTTAATTGGTTATCAATCGAATAATACAATCGAAAATAATCAAACTTCTCATCAAAATAACAATGATGCAACACCAGTTAATTCAAGAAGGCAAAGTCTGAAAAATCTTCTTCGATTAGATAATGAAAATATTTACACTCATAAAGATGAATTAAATGCCATGTTTGATTATGATTTAACATTTCTTGATTCTTCATCTGGTGATGTTTATGAATCGGAATTTGGTTCAAAGTATTTGTTTTGTCAATCAGGCTTAGAAAGACTTCAAACCTATGAAGGACCGTTGTGTGAATCACCAACTAACTGAACGATAAATACTCTCATTCTACAACATTAATCCATTTTTACATAATGTCAATTCATATGAAACTCTTCAGGTAAGTCAGTGAAACAATGATAATTGAATGGGACAGTGTGTGACTTCATCATTCTTGTTGGAACTTTCATTCTGGACATGATTAAATGAATATTTAAGTTATCGATTAAATGTATTTTTTTTTTCGCTGATTGATATCTATAATAATCTCTTCCTAATTTTGCTCATTTGATTATATATCTTAAATTACTTTAAATTAGTATAACATTCGCTCATCAATTTTCTCTTGTGAATTGGATAATTTAATAAATATCTTACAAATGAAAGTAAATACCGATAATTTTCTTTTACCCAGCTACTGGTTACTATGGTTACGCAGTTAATGAAAAATCTATTGATAACTTGAAATTAAGACTTATGCAGTTAGCTGACTATCATATATATTTTATGAAGACTAATAATATAGAGTTTCCAACATGTTTCCGAACCGCTGAATTATACTCACACAAAACATTAATATTACCTAATGTTCCATATACTTTATAATTTAAAGGCTTTTCACTGTTAATGCGTTGAAAGTATGATAAATATACGATCAAGTTTAAGTTGACGTCTTGAAGATTTACAAATAATCTAGTTCAATTATTACCTTCATCAGAAAACTAAATTATTGCTTGTCATAAGTAATGCATTTGGTGGACTGTTCAATTTAATGGCATCAACTATCAAAACTGTGATTCATATGATACTCATAATCAATTCTGACTGAGTCGAAGTTGTAACAGTTGATTTGGTTAAGTAACAGAAATAGGGTAACCTTAATAATCGTTGTAGAAAGAGAGAAGCCAGTTTATTCTCAGAAGTCAAGAATGAAGCTACAAAAATTCTGTCTATACAATCATGACAATGATTTTGAGAGCATACAACAAAAAGGAAAAAAAATATTAATGAGGAAGAAAACAGACTAGAAAGTTAATATAAGTGAAAAATTTTCAAGGACTCACTTATTTGTTAGACCTGCAACTAACTAATAAAAAAGGAAAACTAGAACAATCGAAGTTGTTCTAGGATTTTTATAAAACGAAAATTAAAGCGAAAAACCAATGAATCACTAAAGATAATTTTTAAAGTCAATATTAGATGAAACATTTACGCGAGGAATTATATGTTAATGTTAGATAACAGAATTGTTTTACTCCCATAACAAGCTAAAACCTTAAAAACATTGAAATTTCCTAGATACAGTAAAATCAAAGACGTCGCATGGCTGTTGAATTCATGGTATACTTAATTGTACATGTCATGCAACTGATGTACGAGCGCTGTTTCTAACTGCAACATGTATTTAGTTCCAAAAAGCACAACAATTATCTATATGAAATCATATTCAATCGTTTATTGAAGACTGTTATTTTTAAGTATTACTGGTCGCTAAAATAGATTTATCACTTGACCTAGCTACCCCATCAATTTTAAATGATAAAATCATGATATATGAAAAGGTGGTATAGCATTTCAGAATTCAAGCATAAACTCAGTGGGATATGATGTAATCGTTTATACGGCCTTTTAGGATATTGATGACGATTGTACTTTTTTCTTTCTATGATAATGAGTAGTACGGCTAACTGATAACAGATTTGAGTCTTCGTTTCAATTTAAGGCTCAACATCCAATCAAGGGACTCCAAAACCTCCATCTTCCTCTTGCTAAGCTGCAAATATTCACCATCATCTCAAAACCTACAAGTGTCTAGCATTGAATAGCTATTAAACTAAATATTTCATCCAACCATCCGATTAGAAGAGAATCCTTGTCAAATTGACAACTATAGCATTTCCACTACAAAGAGGTTGTTGACTTTAGGATAAATCTCAGTGGAATCCGACACTTAATAGCTTCATTGATACAAGCATGAAACAGGTTTAGAATAATGCAGTCACAAAATATTTTCCGATGCATTAGGTGATGTAAACAAAATAAGAAGTGCGTTGCAATGTAAACTAATATGAGAATGAAATAGCTGTCGTTTATAACTTTTACATTGTTCTCAGTGTACTTGAAAAATCAACAGCTCTATTCAGTTGTCTTAATGTAATTTTGTCAGTGGATCTACTTCAGTGAACGTAAATGTTTCGGTCGTTGATTTCACTGACAGTAAACATGTAAAACAGTGAATATGTAGAGAGTTTTTAAAGTAAATAAAAAGCTGATTTCAGTATTCATTTACACATCTTATTCTTAAACAATGTTTCCCATACATGACTAACTTTAATCTAGTTTCTGTTTTATTTTTGATACAAAACTGATGTGCAACAAACTGTTTTTAACACATCCCCAGTCCTATAATATACATTTCAATGATCAAAACTGAATGTTCAGCTGAAAACGAAACAAGCATCAAAATTCAAACACTTGGGAGGTCTTTTATTTTTGTATAGTGCGAAACTTTTATTGATTTAAACAGGAACTGAGATACATCAAAGTGGTTAGGGCGCTTCAAATATTTGAAATAATTGATAATTTGAAGATATTTCTGGAATTCTCAGACAAGTTAAACACTGAATAAAATAACCTCGACTAAGTCACAGATTTTAATTTCATTTCTTATTGTTCACATCTCTCAAGCAAAATTATAGACAAAATCCATGGTGAGTTGACGTTCCTTCATAGTTTATACCAGATAAACATTTGTGAAGTTGTTATATAATTCATTGGAGCTTTATGCCAAAGTTTTTACAAATCTTATTAACGTTTGATCATTACAAATGATTCGATACTGGAATAGTTGGGCTGTTGAATATGGGATCATTATTAGCTGTTGCAAAGTCGTATCATGATATTGTACCAAAGGTTTTTAGTATTCATATACTGAATATCGTTTACTAACGAAGTTTATACGTTATTGAATACGATTCTAGCTAACACATAGCTGTGGTCTTTAAATTATGTGACTGACCAATTCAATCAATTAACAATGGCTTAAATTTATCTGATTAAACATTATTAAATGATGAAAATGCGAGAGGAAAATAGTCAACCAACCGATGTTATAAAATGAGGGTTCTGTTATTAGGCTAAAGAAATACTTTATTAGTGTTTTTTTCTTTCAGCTGAGTTATAAATTCAATTTAAATGAATAAATCCTATTCTGAAAATTATAACAAATATCACACATATTTTGTCGTGATTTGGAAGACGCAGAATGGAAGGTAAATTGTAAACAACAGAGATAAAAGAGTAAAGTTTGTGGTTTATAAATTTCTTCTAAAAGACATCTATTACCAGGTTTGTTCAATCTACAGTTAGTAAACAGTATTTAGCTGAAAAGTGAACTTGGACGTTATTGTTCATGAAGAATAATTTAGCAACGAATTAGGCAAGTCTCACTGTAGAGTCGTAATAATTACATTCCGTTGGAAAAAATAAACTGAGAACAGAGATTACAAAACAACAATCGTAAACATTATTATGATAGGTCTGTAAATGTTAAACAATATCAAGTAACGGTGATCAATCATGACAGTAGTTTGCTTCATGATTGAGTTTCACCAGACAATTTGACAGTCACCTTAACAACAGAAATTCTTTGAAAATAGGCAAAATTTATTTAAACTTTATTTCAAGTCATTGGAATTCAATTGTTTGTTGGCTCCTTTTTTAAAATTGGCTGCGATTTCAAAGTTTGATTGATACATGTCAGCATTGCCAGTTTATTGGTAAAAATCTTAGAAACCAACTCAAGGCTACGTATTTTGCTCATAAATGATATTTCTGACAACTTGTACAGATTCCAAAAACTGACTGATTGCTTTGCAAAATAACTTTCAAAGACGTACATAGTATTCGGGTAAATTTAAAATAAATAAGAAGAAATATAATTAAGAACAACAAAATACTGAAACAATTTCAAATTTAACTACTGATTGGATTTGTAACAGTACAACAGTCAAATAGTTAACAATCTGAATATTGATTATTGAAGGGCGGTGTGATATGTTTAGTCAGTAGTGAAAACTAAAACTTCATATAAATTTTGATTTCGAATAGCTGATAAACTATCTGATTTATTTGAACCGTCATTCAGACACTAATCGTAAGACTGTAGCAGAGGCAATAGCCAGACACTTACTGCATTTCGTCGGTTATACAAAGAGATTGACTGTTTAGTACACGTGAGTGCCTTACTAACTCAATGTTACAAATAAAATAGACAATTATAAATCTACGCTATAACATCGTGTAGAATCCAAACTGAGTTTTGGACTGAGAAATAACTTTCTAGGTAGTTTAGATACCCGCCTTGCACAGTTTAAAAACAAAACAACTGATTTAGTTAAACAACGGTTCTAATATTCATCATAAATATAAATATAAATCATTACCTAAACAACATTAGCACAACTATTCCACATCAACTGTTCAATTATTCAAATAAATGATTTTCCGTCCCTCCTGGATAGATCAAATTCGTTCGACAGATAATATTTGGTTGCTTTATAATACAGAGTGTTCCCAATTCTGGAAGGGTGCTCCAATTCACAATCAAAATGCACAATTCCAGTCAGTGCAACCGAGGAACAAACCAGTATGGCTGCCGCCATGACTAAGTATCAGCTTGAACAACATAAATGCAGTTCAGAAAGAAACATAAAAACTCAGTGCAGGCAAAAGAAATAGAACTATAATAAAATACAAATATTATCATCTCAAGATGGAATCGAACATACTACCAAAATGTGCAAGTGAAGGAATCAATGAGGACAAATTACAAATGCATACATGGATGGATTTTCTTAAACAGAGCCTTTAAAAATGGATCTGACACATAGTATATTACTTGATGTATTCATGGAGGATAAAAGGATTTTTTTCAAAAATAAGGATATCTGTTTTGTGATTATAAACGTGAAATTAATTAACTACATATGGATATGCAGTCTGAGAGTTTATTTTCATAAACAAAGAACTTAGTCTCATCTCATTCAAAATCACACTCAACTATTTTCGGCCATTGTTCAAGACATCGAGAGATTTTGTCGATTATGCCACACATTTTCAGCAATCAGCTACTTTAATCTACCATAGTGTGTAGCGTAAAAGATTACTAAAAGTAAAGTAAAAAAAAGCTTAAATTTATCTAATTTCATAATTTGCTTTCCAGTATACAAAATATTCAACTTGGAGTTATCCCGTTTACATTTACTGCACAGTATTCAGAATACTTATCAGATTGCAATTCCTTACTTGATAATTTCTTTCATCTCTCGAATTTCAGTCGATTTACAAACTGGCCTCCAAATTTCAGCAAAATTTGAACTTATAACTGTCTTTGTTAAGACTTAATGAGTTTTCTTTAACCACACTAAATTTTTATCTTTTATTCTATATGGTATGATCATTTTAAATATGAGTATTTTTTAACAACCAATACAAACTTATCATTTTAGTATTGACTAAATTCCTGCTTTATAAGCTTTTCCGGGGCAAAACATTTAGGCAAAAATAAATTTGTATTCAGTTAGATCCACATTAAAATTTGCTCTAATATAAAATAATATTTATATGCATTCATGAAATAATGAAACCAGTCAGGATACTTTGTAAGTTAATGTTACGAAACTATCAAAAGTAGGATCACAACGTTAAATTAACTATACCAAGATAGATTAATGAATAAAATATTAGGTATCCGTATCAAGGTTGAACTTGATAGTTTCAAAGAAATTGAGAGAATAATAGAAAGCTAATAATTATTTTATTATTAGATACTAAATGTTTGTGAGTTATTTTAAAATATTTAGTATTCCCGTTGTGAATAACATATATATAGACGAATGATAATGTTTTCAAATAGACATTTGTCAGGTTTTACTCTGATATACAAGTAAATTTATATGAAAATGTAAAACCAATCCAGGAAATAGATGATTCAATAATCACAATATAAAAGATCATGTAACTACACATAATAAGTAAGAATACAAGTTGAGAGTAGGAAGACAAGTGTACTATTAGTGGTACGAATAATAAAGTACAACAACTAAAGATTCTGTCAAAAGTTCAACAATGGAAGTGGCCAGTCAAACGTGATTAATAATAATCGCGAAACGTTATTAATACTACGTAATATGAAGTGTGTACACAATTAGATAGTGGAGAATTTAAACGGGAAGAGGCGAAAAGTGGTAAACAAGTGCATGATGTGAAAATAATACTAATGATAAGTAAAACAGTCTTTTATAATACATCCGGTCAAGCAAGGGACAGGAGTGTCACGAATTGCTTCTGAACACATTAATTGGGGTTGAATGTGTCGAATTCCTCTCTTCTGCTGTATATAGGAGACGGGATCGAACTTCGTGGGCAAATGATTTAGGTATACGATAAATCACCATTGTCAATCATATGTGCCAAAATAGAGCTGCGGATTGTTTTTATTTGGCCGTTTTCCAAACCATGCTGAGAGATGTTCACTCATTCGTTGACTAACGACAACGCTTTACACACAAATTATTTGTATCCTTTGTGAGTGATGAGTATTTTCAAAATATTTTTTAAATTAAGTCTATAGATATTTTCAAACTAATTTGATCTAATCTATTTAATGGTAGTTTCAATTTCAATAGATGAATTTGATGTGAAAAGTTGTTAACAAATTCTTTCTGAGTAGTTTGCTGGTAAATACTTACGGAACACAAAAATGGTTGCGACATGATTGTTACAGGAGTTGTGTCCTTAACTAACCTTTTACATCTCATGTAAGAAAAATTAATTAGGATCAATAAATCAGTTAGATGGAATGACAGTGTATTTAGTGTTGCATGTCATCCAACCCGCATTTACATTTTTTATGTACTTAAAACAAAACTATGTGTTGATATTCATTACTTCATGAAAATATACCATACATGATTTAATTATTACAAATGTCAGGACGGAGAACACAATCGGAATCACGTATTACATCTGATAAGAGTCTATCTGATTCTTATGGAGACAGTTTAGACCGAGATATTTCATTTGAGCATCGTCATCCACTTGGTAAAGATATTGGAAATCATGTATTTCACGAATGTGAAATCTATATTTTAAAACAAATCGGGTTGAAAAAAGATGAAGATTTCACTAGAGACAAAATACAAATGCTACTGGATAAATATTATAATCTTAAAAACACACACTGCAAACTATATATGTTTGAAGATTCAATGAGATTTGAACGACTGAAATCAATGGGTCGACATTCATTTCATTCAGAATTACGTTATGAAGATATAAAACGTTGTTCAACATTTCGTTCAAAACCACAAGCATTGGCGTTATGTGTTTCAAATCATTTCGATGATAAACGTACTTACGAATTATTTCGTTGTAAATCACCCACTGATATCAATAGAATATACAATTTAATAGATAAAGCAACACAATCAAATTCATTTCGTTTACCTCATAAATTGCCCATAATTTATAGTGATAGCATTAAACAAAGTCCTTATATGAATAACAAGAACAGAGCTATGTCCGTTGAGTCAGTTCGTAATTCACTGTTAAGACCTAATTCATTAGTGGGAGATTATAGTGAATATTCAAAGAAAACATGTGATGAAGCTGTTGGTTCATGGAATGCCACACAACTAAATGAATTTAAACGTACTACTTTAAAAGATATAAAATTCGATGAGAATGAAAATCGAAACATACTAAAGTCAACTGTACAACGTGTAACTTCAGTACCAGTAGAAGTAAACTCAACACAAGCATCATTCAGAGAAGTTACCAATGAATCCGCAGTGAATTCAATAAAAATAGATGAAATATTCAATGATTACAAATTACAAAAGTTTAACAAATTGCCAAGAATAAGAATTGACAAGAATATGACATTTCCATATAAAACTTGGGACGATAGCATAACATATTTACAAATTCATCCAATCTATGGACCGCAAATCAGTGAACGTGGTCCAGTTTATATGTATGCTATACAATTATAAATGTCGTTATTGAATATCACGGTAAACAAAGAAAATAATATTTCTGTTCAATAATGGAAATTATTTAATTAAATGTGTTTGTTCTTCCTGTTGTTCAATGTTAATTGTACTCTTCTTAATAAAGTATATTCATGTGTACCATTATTCAAGAATTTGTTTTAATGTATTTATTTATTAAAGGATTTAGGAAACCTATTAATTCGATAATATTCAATGTTTATTGTATGGAGTTTAGACTCTAGAAGTTGGTTAGATTGTTTGATTGGTTTTAAAGTCAAATGATGAAAACTTATCAAAGTTAACATTGTCAGAGATCAATCTCGTTGGTTCAAAGGGTAGTGCATAGCAATATTGTTATCCGAAGGTAGTGTATCACACTGAAACTAAACAGTAAATATCCGTCGACCTTATGTTTCAAAACAAACAATAAAGTATATAACAGAAGCAATTAAAACTGAATTCTTTGTTAAACGTTTTTATTTTAGTACAATTAAGGCGTACATGACTTAGTTATTAACCAAGTAATACTCATTGTATTAAACTTTCTTGAAATCACTGAACAGTTTCGTGGGATATTTTATTTGGATAATTTAACCGGAATTAATTGTCTAGTAGTTTTTAGTGGAGTAGAATGATTAGATAGTATGATAACTTATTGATAATTTATGACTAAAAACCGATACTGAAGTAAATTAAACTTACGGAGAAAGATTAGTTGGCTTTTTCCGTTAAATTTATTGTCCCATTATCTTAATAATCGAACTATCACTATCAAAAATACGAAAAAGAAAACGATGAATCACCAAGTTTAGAATGACACCTATGAATTTAGTGATTCTTGCATTGAATGGTGGCAATCACTTGGTGGTCAATAAACGTGATATTTCTTGTTTAAAAGTTAGAATTGATTTCTGATCTGTCTACTTTGTCTTAATCGACCAAACAGTAGCACTAAAAACTCACATTTTAATCGTGTCATTTGAATGGAGTAGAAAAATATGTACTTGGTAAATAATTTAAAATAATCAAGCAGCAAAATATATTTGAATCGGATAAGTTTTTCGTAAAGTTTTGTTCGATTTAGTTTCTTATGATAAATCTGAAACTAAACAAGATAAATAGATGGAGTAGGTTTACAGTATGTAAATAAAGTTCCAGATTCGTCGAATTACAACGTACAATAATTAGGGATACCATAGAAATAAAAGTTATCCTTCACTCTTCATTTATCCATATAGTGTATGGTAACAGGAATGCGTTTCTCAAAAAGGTTTTTTATTAATCGAACGAGTTGCATACATATGATGAGAATAGATTCGTGTTATACAATGGAATTTTTTGTTGCTGCCTGCTATTGAAATTGTTATCTTATATCTATTCTTGAAAATCATGAAGAGAGCAGTATTATGAAGTTGTTGAAAAGATCCCTTGAAATTATAGTAATATCTCAGACAAAATATCCTAGTAATTCATTTGGTTATACTTGGTACCGTACCATCTGGTTTGTTCTTTCCCACAGTAGGTTGTTGTTGATTGTGTCTGGCCAACGGATCCTCAGTATTTTGCATAGAAAACTGTTAGTAAACGTTCATATCTTGTGGATGATGGCTTTGGTAGTTTTCCAAGTCCATCATCCACAAGATGCCAGTATTAACAGTTGTAGTTGTTGTTGTTGTTGTCATATGAAAATGTAGAATTTTTCTAAGTTCACGTATAAGTTATTCTGGTTTAGTACTGACTTAGTATCTTATACTTTATTTGTAATATTTTATGGCATAGATCTAGTATTAAATACAAAGTAAAGCGGTATTCTTTTTTGTTAAAAATTAGAATTTTGACATTTTATTGATATTCATAATCAAACCACTGCTAATGATAAAGATAACAGGGATATCATCATAGTCTAATTAAAAGACTTGAAATGGTAAAAGTTCTAGTTACAAAACATAATGCGAAAAATTTATTTCATTCATCGTGTGCAGTAGTTATAAATTCACGGATGTCATACTAGACAATGCTATTAGTAATTTTAGTTGATTTTTTTAATTACATTTCAAAAACTAACGGTAACATCAGACATTTACAAACTGTAACGGAATCGTCTTTATCATATTTAATCATGCCTAAAAATATAAAACTATGATCAACCTTTCCGTTCTGTCATTTCATTCATCTGGTAAGCGTTCTACAGTCAGCCAGATAATATTCAGTGAATAATACTAGAAGTTATACAGGATGCCAACTGAGCACTACACATACGTAGACTGCCTTCATAAAACTCTTACCTAGATAAGTCTTTATCAAGCATTGATGGTGAGTTTTACTATAGCTGCATATAATCTAACCTTTGTACTGTGTAGCATACAGTAGCATACAGCAAACTTATTACTTTATTACTCATATTACATTCTTAATTTACATCGTAAAGTGTTCTAATACGTGGTAAGTGTAATTTTTTTCTCTCTAAGCACAAAAAACCCAAGTATGAATTCTACTAAATTAAGCATTTTGAAAAAGATCAATAAACAATGTACATGAACTGGTTAAACAACGTGACACAAATACCTATTGTGTAATTGGAATAGGCATATATAAAACATGGTCGATTGATTACCTATTACTTACTCTCATTGTTTCTGTGCTAAAACGAAATTATTAGTTCTTATAGCAAATCTCATAAGGTTACCGCTAGAATTAAAGTTAGTTCAGTGAAACCCAGGTAACACAAATTTAGAAGATACGATCAGTAATAAATTATTAAAACAAATTTAGAAGATACGATCAGTAATAAGTTATGTTGCAGGTGGTTAGTTAATCAAACACTACATACATTAAACATTAAGTCGCAACACATTAGTTTTATTCTGATATAAATATTGGCGTGCTTGAATATCTAGGCTACCTGTTTCCTGCAACCATCTAAATATTTCAGCAAGTTAATTTTATGTTTGTTTCGGCACCCCATTTTTGCCATACATTTCGAACAATCTGGTCACACATATTCTTGTCAAGGGTAAATTCAAGGTTATAACAAATTGTTTCTGTACACATAAGAGGGGTTATAATTTACGAATAAACAAGGCTTCCATAAACCTCAAAATTCGTCCTTCAACGTTTCTATACAATGTTTTGAAGGCTGTCTTGATGTTAATCTCAATAATATGTTTTGCGATAGATGAACATGGTTTTATATTTCCCACGTTTTTCGTCTCATCTGACATTAACTGATTTTGAAACCACATAGGAACATGTTCCATAACCCATGATTGGCATTACTTGGTACTTAGTTTTAAGATTTGTAAATCCTTTTATATTACCATTATTCTAAACCGATGCTTTTTAGAAAAAAGCTCTGAGGCCGGCTAACATTGTGCGGGGAATCTTCTGATCGACATATTATGTCACGCAAACTACCGGAAGTGTCATCTAATCAAAAAGTAACCATTCACTACATTCACATCTTTCTCATTTTATATTTTCTGGTAGTTCGAGACGCGGATACATCTGAAACTATACATTGAAGCAAGGGTGTATACGTTATACAATACATTATCTAGCAATTTTACTATGTGATGAACTGGTTGTACAAGATGATCTATTCAAAAACTTGTATTTTCAAAATTGTTTATAGTTCAAATTCGTATCGATTTTCATCTTATCAAAAAGCATATCATTTAATTTGCCGATGATTTAGTTACTTATTTCTCGAATATATATATATATATATATATATATATATATATATATATATATATATATATATCCAGTTATCGTTTGCTGTTTGGTTTTTCTAAAAGAAAATTGTTGAAATATTGTGTTGAGAATTAAATATTTTATTGAACATGCTAAGGGACACCCAAGTTACACTAAATGTCTTTCTAATAATCCTATAGAGCGGAAAAATTACAAATTATATTGGTAATTGCAGTACATGATATATTCAGTAACCATTGAAACGAAATTGAAAATATCAAACTATTCCTGAAACATTTTCAAACTATAAAGAAAGGAAATCTGTTGAAGCATTTCAATTGGTGCTAAGTCAGTCTATTCTCAACAGAAAAGAAGGCATAATTACTCAGCTATCTTGGACCACTTATCGCAACAAGCACGTTCAACTGTTGACTTTTCAAACATTCTACACATGCTCAGACACAAAGTTCAACTCCACTACTTCAAATCACAAATTACTCAGTTTGTATACACACTGGGACACGAACAAATATACATAGTAATATGTCACACAGAATCCCCTTGGCCATAATAAATTTACACGACATTGATAAAATCAGATCTATTTAGATTTGATTTTGATTGAACTAGATGTTGTACCTTGTTCCTATATACTTTTTGAACTTGTTTTAATTAAACTATCCAATTACTTATTTATTCACTTTCAAGAAGTGGCTTATACAGAGTTAAGAAGCGTCAGAAATTCCAATTTCCATTCACTATAGTATTTATTATTCATATTAAATGTTTTGAGCTGAAAACAGCCGTAACAAATGAAGGCAATCAACGAGAAATACGATGCATGGTAGTGCCTATTATTTGACGGAAAAGAAATAATACTCGACTAGCCACACAGAACTCTCAGAGCCCTAAAGCAGACAGTACGATATTCATTCAAACGCAGTATTCCAGACGAGAACTCACTTTTAAAGAAGGAAACGTAGATAAATAGCCTGGTCTATCTCACTGATCTTAGGATCAGGTCATCTAATTGATCTAACTAAAAAAGCTTTCCTTATGTAGCGGAATTTAAGCCATCAAATACAAACTCTGTAAGCATTTCTTCTGTACTAAGGGTTTATGCTAAAAACAATTCAATGATTACAGGTGTTTGACATCCCTAGCCGGAAAGAACGTCAGCTAAATAAATCCTTACTCAACAGTTATAGGGTGTTATTATTTATCACAGGAAAAAAATTAATGGTTATCACTTTAATTTGTATACCGAAATAAGAATCTGGATACTTTCTTTCATACTGAAACTTCATGTAATTTGATAAATAGGTTTGACAAAATCTACCTCAGAAAATCTTAACTGAGTAAAAGCAAAACAAATCATCAAGGAAGAAACAGAAATATGCCTATAAATATCATAGTTATCTATCATGATTTGTAGTAATGAAATTGAGAAATCGTAATGATGATACAGGCTTCTAATCTTATTTCGATCAATCAGTTGTATGTATAACAATGTGTCTACATAATATGTGTAGATATGTATATAAAATGGTGAATTCTCATTGTTACGGATTCGTTTCTGTATTCTATGTTCCCATTAGTTAATGGAATTCAACTTTTATGAAAAGAACTAGCTTCAACTTATTTTACGATAGGATTTTAGGATATTTTCATATTTTCCTATCTGTCTGTCAATGTGTTTTTTTTTCTGATTATAGATATGATTTTGTATTTGCATTGCCAATATTTTCTTCTCGTAAACTGTTGGCTAATCATAAACATATTAAAGATTGCCATTGTGAAAATTAGAACAACACTTATAAGCGAACAATACTGTTTTCGATTAGATCGTCATGAGGCTTTACTGTCTGATTTACATGAATATTGATATGAAAACGTTACACTAATCAAGGCAATTTGAGTCATTAATCACAATGAAATGAAATAGATTACGTCACTACACATAATAGGCAAAAGTACAAGTTGATAGAAGGAAGACAGGTGTACTGATAGTAGTAAAAGAAATATAAAATACGATAACAAAAGTTTTATCTATAGTAGGTCAAGGGTGGATAAATAGACTTAATCGTTACAAAACATTAAAACCATTACGCAATAAGAAGTGTGTACACAATCAGATAGTGGAGAATTTAAACGGAAAGTGGCAGAAACTTACAATCAAATACAGGATGTGAAAATATTGCTTATAATAACAAAAATAAAGGTATAAAAAATTATTTAAAACATTGGTTAAGTTATATCCGGCCATCGATGGAATAGGCATGGCAGAAATTTCCTCTGAACACATAAATTGGAGTTGATTGTACGTATTCCTATGGCCTCTGTTATATGTAGGAGACGAGATGGAACTCCGTTGCGAAATGATGGAGGTATACGATAGATCAATCAAAAAGATCTAGACTTATCTGCAGTGTGACCCTTATCAGCCAGGTGTACAAAGATATAACTGCGTATTGTTTTTAACTGGACCTTCATAAACCACGCTGGGAGATGTTCACTAATTAGTTGGTTAAGTTGCCTGGTGGTATGCCCGATATAGGTATCTCCACAGGGGCAGCTGAATTTGTAAATGCACATATTTTATTCCATACTTGATCAGTAATCATGCCGGGATCGGAACTGCTACATATTCGACGTCTTTTTGAATTACTGTGTCTAATATGATTTCTTATTAATTTTTCGATGGAACATCCGATAAAAATTTTTGCCAAACATTAGTCTATATATTCGATTTTAACTACGTATATTCCCTGTTATATTGCACCAAATATCTAAGGAATAATTTATTGATTCGTATGAACTACACCGAAAACATGCTTCTAACTGTTAAACAATTTAATTTCAACTAAACTAACTAAATGAATAAACATGGTATTTTTTTAATCAAAGTGAAACGTTATTTAAAACAAGAAAGACTAATTCAGAGAAGAGTTCTGTTTCCGGTGAATTCATTTTGAATGTTACACGAACACAAATATATGCTTTTTTTACAATGTGTTCTATTATTGAGCTTCTTATGAATCCTTTTCTACCTTTCTCCAACCAAGTTGAATCATGTTCTCGAAGTCGTTTGGATAAAATACGCAATGAACGATCTACATACTCAGCTCTACGTAAAACAGGAAATTAATAATTCATCACAGATACAATTGGTCAAATGCTGTTTATCCTTTATTTCTGTGACAAGAGCGTCATCTATAGATTTCATCTAAAATTTTATAATTTTCTTACTACCCAGTGTGAACATACACATCATTTTAATTGATTATAAAATATTTATTTGGAAACGAAACAAACAAAAATAGGGTATTCAGAAATTTGAATTGTTCTAAATTAAATCAAAGTTGTGTTTTTAAGTTAATGTATCGAATTTCACCGAAATGAACTTGTTTTAATACCAATATAATGACTATGAAAGATTTAATTTTTCAAAAGATTTCTTATATTTGTTACATTTGTTTAAGTTGAACATTTTAATGAAAATTGAACAAGAGAACAATCGGTCTTTTAATATATAATTTTAATTAAAATATGTGCACACTTTCAATTGTATCGAACTTAATAAGAATCCAATCAGATTTTTAAGAAAACAATTACACTGGACATTACTACAATTGTATTGTCCCATAATAAAAAAGCAAATTAACAAATAAACACATATACCAACGTACATAATTTTCAAGTAATTATGTGACTTGTATCACATACAGTGAGCATCAAGCAGAAATTTGGACTGTTAAAAATCGACAGCTTTTTTAGATCTAAAAGAATTATAGAAAATTCCGCGCGAAATCAAGTGACAACTGGAACATTAAGTTATGTCAGATATTCGTAGTAAAAGTCTCAGTTTGCCTCAGGTTTATGAACACGACGGATTGAGTACTTATTCTCTTAATCAACTAAAATTGGACAAAAAGACAAAACAATCTGTTTATTACATATGTCATGTTTGCTTATTAAAATCTAAAGAAGTGGATTTAAATGATGAATTAACTGAAGAAAAAGCCGAATTTCTAATTGAAAGTTGTTTGAAAAAACGTTTAGCTCATTGTAATCTATACTGTTTACAAGATCAAATTCGATTTGAAAAGTCAAAACAATGCGGTTCCAATCCACCAAGAAAGTTTATATTATACAAGCACATAAAATTTATGTATATATCTGAAAACAAACCATACATGTTTATATTATGTACAGAATTCGATAAAGCAAAGCGTAAAATCTATGAAGTTTACAAGTGTAAATTATCACAAGATGCTAAAATGTTATATGTACTATTACAGAAAGCATTAAAAGACAAAGAGTTTTTATTACGTGAGGAATTCAAACATCCGAAAGTATCGATCGGCTCACAATGTTGTTTAATCAATGATGCAACTATAAATACAGCTAATACTGTCAATACTACAACATTCGGTAACAATACTTATTACAACAATGAAACATACATAAACAGTATTAGAAAGCGATCAATGTTGCCGGTCAGTAGATCAATATCTAGAAATAATCTCACTGGAATCACTTCAAATATCTATGTAGAGCATTCTAATGAATTGATTCAAAAGCAGGCTGTCACTTCAGCCTCACTACCTAAGTATGATGGTCAGTCAACAGAATTAATACAAAAGTTGAGTAATGCCTGCAATCCAGGCGGTAAACATTATGATAATACCTGGAATGTATCCTTGGTATTATTACAAACGGATTTTATCAGGGGTGCTCGAATAAATGATACTGGTCCTATCTATATGTTTGTAGCAAGGCAAATTAAATAACTATCGATAAGTGAGTTATAGACTACTAATAAGGTAGAAGATGCTTTTTGGAACTTGATGCTTCACTCTAGTTGTCTTTTTAAAGCTTCTAAATAGAAAAAAAAATACTGATTTATGAATTTTAGTATGTTAAATTGTTAAATTTTTTCGACTAATTTTGTAATTCTTCATATTTAGTCAAGAATTTATTTTTCACTATATTTATTAGTTACATATGTTTATCGATGTTTATTACAAATATCATATATAGTTATTCAACTGTTTCAATATTCCAATGTTTGTGAGCCATTCACATCCTCATTTTGGAACATTTTTCAAATACATATCTTACAAAATCAATTGTGTTTAGAAGTTTAAAACTGTAACTATTGTGTTGGGCAAATATATTGGTTAGTAATCATGCAGTCATGTTGACCTTAATATAAAATATTTTGTCAACATTAAATCATTTCGATAGCACAGTAAGAGTTCGAAAAAATTTAGTTTGTTTTAAAAAGGTTGCATCGAAAATTTTTTCCATGAATAAAATTAATGACAGAAATTTTGGACATTCCGGTTTTTGTTAAATGGAACTGTCGTTTCAATACATCAATCCAAACAGCGTCATGTACACTTTATGGTTTGAGTGTACGATAATCTACACGAAACCTAAAAATTATTTATTCACTTCGATATGAGATTATTCGAATACAATTTCGATAAATCTCTAAGTAGAATGAAACATTAGATTAGTAGTAGTTCATTAGGTTTTCTGTAGGGCTTAAATGAAATTCCTCCCCATACATCAAATCAAAACTATGCGTCATTTAGTGACTGGCTTTGTGATGGATTTGCGAGTTGGTACGACTAGTCAAGACGATATGAGAATAATCATGACATGATATCATGAAATGACTAAAATTTGAAGAATACTGACTATTACAATTAAATTACTTGATGCTGCTCAAAATAGGTAATTACTCGTAAAACTGTTTTTAATCTTGGCAAGTTTTCAAAATTAAACTGTATTCAATACTAAAACAGGGACTTTTTCACTGGTAATGTACATATCTAGTTGATTGTTAGAATGTCAACGGAAATAAAATGAATCGAACCCTAGACAGGCAATAGTTTTTTTGTAAATCAAGTAAAATGTTTGCTTAAACTGATGTTTTGTGAAGATGCGGGTTGTGTCACATGTTATTTGCCGATTGTGGATTACTGAAAACAAATGAAAACTAAATATCTGTTTTACTTTAACTTGGAGCTTGACATCAGTATGAACCATCAATATCACATATGATTCAGCATCTTATGTTTGGAGCTCAAAGTGTGTCCTTCGATCAAAGATCAATGATCGAAAGTTCTGTTTTACTAATGAGATAAAATAACAACAAGTTAAAAAAAAAGTTATTTAAAATATTCCGAATCTTGTTTGGACAATGTAAAATGCATGTTCTAGAGAAGACACACAAAGAGCTTTGCTGATACTGACCAGAGCTGAAGAGCTCAAAAAACGCTCTATGACAAAAAAGGATTCGATAAATCGTTGGTCATAATAATTAGAAGTTTTAAGATCTAGTGATTTAAGTCGCTCATTAAGCCTACGGAGATGTAAGATAATTTAAAAAAATTATTTATTTTATACAATTTGCTCAGAATGTTTGCAGTAGTCAGTAGAAGTCAGAGAAGTTTAATAATGCGGTAAGTAAATAAATTCCAAAAGTTAAATTCATCTGTAAGTGATAGAAAAATATTTTGGTGAATGAATGTTTCATTAAAAATCAGTCAAACAGTAAAGTCAGTGGACGAAACTGTTTATCTACATTCTTATTAATATGGAAAAATCGAGTGTTACAATTCACTAGAACACTAAAACCTCATTGTTATCCAATTAATCACTGAACTAAACAAGTAGTTTACAATTACTCATTGCTACGTAGAAAGCATAATTACTAATTGCTTTGATTTCCCACAAAAATTTTGGGAAAAATACACATTTAGAAGTGAAATGTGATTTTTATTACTGTGAAGAATTGTAAGTATTTGTGTAGTCTGAGGTTTATAAAACTTTGAATTATCTTCTTGTCGTGAAAGAGATTAATTTACATTAACTGCTCAATCAATGTTTAAGGTTCTTCAAATAACGAGTGATGGAATTTAAACGCAGTAACTAATAAGTAGATTTCATGGCAGAAAAATTCAGTTTGACTTCTTAGACCTAATTAAACATTTCATGAATCAACTAATTTTTCAGATCATATATGTAGACAATTACATTTGTAAAATATTTTAGCAACACTGAACTATACACTATGTTTCAACATGATTTAGTGTTGTCCAAGAAATTATCCCTTAATTTACTTTTTCCTTGTAAGATAGTCAGTGAAGACTAGTTTTCTGTTTTTCGAATAGGAAAACGTTTCCAAATAACAAAGTGATGTGAAACTACATCTGGACTAGAATATAAACTTCTATAATGTTGAATTTCTGTTTGTAAACCTATAGTACATGGGATTTGAATGACAGTCCTGAGTATTACTTTGATCTAACAGTATCATATTAGTAAATTGCCTGCTTCATTGAAATATATGAAATGTTTTTCAGAAATCTCTTTTGAAGATTAGGTTGTAAAAAAAATTAATTTTCGCAAATATATGTGTTGAAACAGTTTAAAAAACAACTAATTTGCAAGCTGTCAAACGATTTTCTTTTAGTAGATGTTGGTATAAATCATGAGATTTAAATTCAGTTGAAATGCTCAATAAACTACATCTAGGTACTTTTGTTATAAGGATAGATATCCGACAAAACTTAATTTTTATAAAAACCATACGATAGAGAGTAACGTAATCGTTAGATAAAAAAAAATTGTTCCATAATTCACTAAGACAATGGATCATATGATTTTCTGATTAAAAATCGATTTTCTACGCTTACACAAATTAATGATTTAAGAAATAATTCATAAAACAATGTAAAAATACACATGTGAACGACCTAACAAAGCACATAGTCTTTATGCTAGTTAAAACGATTGATTGTATTAAAAAAAAATGTAAATGATTTCATTTGATGAATATAATGGAAAGTTACTAATTCTCTCATAATTAATCTGATACATTGCCATACATTAAATCAAAAAATAGTCATGATCATTCTGATTTTTTCAGTGATTAATGTTTTTTCCTACATACATTGTAATGAAGAATAATTATTTTCTTTAAATCTATTGTTGAATAAATGCTGTTCTTTGGCGAATTCTACTCACAAACTATCATATAAGTAGTATGTAGCGTTAAGTTGACGGAAGTGGTTACCAGAAAAAAGAATAGAATCAGATTGAGATGCCTGACGTGATCAGTGTGATTTGAGGATCAGAATTCAAGTAGGAGAAGACAGTTAACGATCTACAAGTTTTGTTTTAAATGAAAGACTCAATATAAAGCGTACGTATTTTACTTGTAAACTGTGTCTATTGTTAATGCCAAATACACAGACTATACCAAACGCTTCCTTTCAGCTTGGATACGATAAGTGATTCGGTTTAGTTATATTATGGAAGGAGAAAAGCCATTAGGCATTTTATCCATGAACGTTAAGTCAAATCTAATCACTCTACTAGCTCATTGATTATTTTAATAATGTATAAAAATTCGTACGAGTTTGCCAAGATTTCTTCGCTTCTGACTTTTTAAAATCGTAAAAGCTCTTGCTTCTAGGAAATAATAACTGAACTAAACACACAAAGTTATATTTCGTATCATGGTCTTGACTGTGGCTTTATACTATAATTACAATTACAAATATTAATTTACTTATCTAATGTCTTACATTAGCCAACTACTATGAAACTATTCGTTCAGATTCAAATAAATGTTGTTCTTAATTTTTATTAATATTATTATCCTCATGATTTTATTTAAACTTATTTCTGAAAGCATTTTAGGCCTTAACTACCATGACTTTAATTAATCTTAAATATCTTATTTTAGTGGATAAGTATACTCAAAATAAATCATAATATGGAATTTCTTTGATATTCTGAAAGTGTGTTTCCTCGTCATTTTGGAATACTAAAAATGAATAGTATACAGTTATGGAACAACTGAAGAATATCAATCAATGTGTAATATATTTTCGCCAAGTCATTATCATTTTAATGACTATTACACATGATATGAATATTATACATAGAGTATGTATATTTATCAGTTTCTAAGAAAATCACTGACTCGGTATACGAACAATCTTAATATTGAGTATACAAGTACTTGTAAAGTAACTCTTCATCTAGACATCAAAAACGTTTCTCATTTCAGCTGACCATATATAGTTCAAGAAATCATATGCGATACACATGATATTGATAAGGTAATAATTAATGATTTAATATCAAACTGTTAAAGCTTATTAGTGTGTAAAAATTTATTTCCGATAGATGGGATTGATCGAACTCTATGTGTAATATTTAAATACCCCACACCAACATACACAAATGTTGTAGTGATTACGAAATCACTTTGACAACATGATACAAATACGGGAAACATTAAATTTAAAAATAATGATTTATAACTCGCTAGGATCTGCAAATAACTAAATATCTTGAAATGAAATTCAAGATTAATTCTTGATAAATTCTAAGGATTAGGTGTTTATATTATGCCGAAGTATGGTTTTCACCTGTTTATCTCATCCAGAATATAAATTTCGTAATCAAATCAATAATTCCTGATTTCTGCGCCTTAAATAATTTTGAAGTACAACATTACTCATGTTCCTGGTTAATGATGTTTCATAGGATTTATATACGATATAATCCAATGGTGAACCTGTTTTTTGATCAGGAATGATATACATCACTATTCATTTCAGGCGATTTTGTGGTTTCTGTGTGTCTTATTGGGAACTCATTAATTTCAAACCGTTTGGCATTCCTAGTTGTCATTAATTTGATTTGCTGCGTTGACTTCATTATGAACGATAATAATTGAGGATGAAATATGAAACCTTATTTATTTCACGTTTATTGTGCTAACCATTTTTATCGACACAACGCTGATATAAAAGTTCGGATACGAGAGTACTTTGAATACTTACATTTCATACATACAGATAAAAGAGACAGTGAACATGGAAATCAAATAAGGTCATAAGAACCTATTCAAAATG